CAACAGAGAGGGGTGATCAATATGTTCATAGCAAACTGTCTAGAGTCCAGTTTTAGCCCCTCCCCCTGGTCTTTGGACATTACTTCTATTTCCCGACCTTCAATGAGTGTATTGCTTAAATTTCTGGAAACAGCTCACTTTCTAGCTTAGGGTAAGACAACAAAGTGCTGTACACCTTTAGAATACAAAAATCTCTTGCTTATAGATTTTGCATTTGGATGTGGTTCCTTTAACTCACCACCCAGTGCATTGCTTCTGAATCACATTACAGAGGACTCTTGTTTCCAGGACTGCAGTAGCCAAAACAGCAACAGGAGCTGAAATGCATCTGTAAAGAGAGGTTTCCCACTAAAACTAGAATCCATTGCTTCGGTAGGACTGTCACTGAACTGACCTTCTGTTAGAAGAAACTGGCGGGCAATATTTTCATATATATTTCTTTAGGGGTGACAGGTATTCTTTGTTGTTGCCATTTGGAATACTCATTTTGGCAGAGAACCTACTGTTGAGATAAGTTTTGAAAATGTTTGCTGTCCCCCAAACCTCTCCACCCCACCTCACCACCCCCCAACATTGTTGCTCATGCCTAGAAAATATTTGCGCTGATAACTGCAGGCTGTTTGTTGTGCACATAGGGAAGTTATAGCCACCTTGGTAGAAATTCGAGAGAGGGAAGGAGGAGAGAAGAACAGTTTTATTTTCAAAATCCAATCCAGTGGAAAAACCAGAAATCCAAAAACATACAGTCCTCCTATTAGGAAAGCTAGTACCAACAAAGTAAAATCAGATATATTTGTTTAGGAAAAATAGGGAGTGGTTGCTTTCTTTATGTTAAAAGTATGTATGCAAACTTTAAAACTGCTCCGATACCTTTGTTCCTAATTCTTTTTTGTTAAATAAAATTTTAAAAGTAAAAACTCAGAAACATTAGCCTACTTATGTAGAGTCTTTATATTAAGCAGATTTTTAAAATATATATCTTTAAAATGGTAGTTTACCAAAGTGCTGAAAAGGAAAAGCACTTATAATGTGCTGGATATTGTCTTAAAGTACTTTATACTTATTGAGCACTTTGGATATTGTCTTAAAGTACTTTATATATATTAAGCACTTTAATCATGACAACAGTGCTGTGAGGCAGGCACTATTATTATTCCTGTTTTATATACAGGGAAACTGAGGAACAGACAGGTGAGAAACCTGCCCAGGGTCTCATAGCTAGTGTTTGGCTGTGCTGGGGATTCAGACCCAGGAAGTCCAGCCTCAATACCCCTGCTGTGAATTCCTGCACTGCCCTTAGGGCTCTCATGGACTGTATGTGTGCATAGATCAGTTGGAGTTTAGGACAAAGGTGATGATATTGGGGGTAATAAGACATTATATATCGAACACCTGGTTTTGTATCAAAACCTTTGCATAGGTTCCCTGAACTATGACCCTGATGGGTAGATGATATTACATCCACTTAATAGATTGGTAAACTGAGGCTTAATGAGAGAACCTGACTTGCACCAGATCTCACAGCTGTTTGGAGGCAGAATCGTAACTGCAGCTCGGTGGGTTTGCCTCTAACCTTTGCTCTTCACCTCCATACTACACTGCTCCTGCTTTGTTTGTTAATTCTCATATTCTAATATTCTTGTATAATAATAACAAGTGTAGAATCATCAAGGTTTCTCATTAAGTGATCAGTCACTTTGGCCTCTGGCGGTGTTTGATGGGGTAGGGTCAGGGGAAAGTAACTGGAAAAGAAAAACTGGATTCGCCTTACTCTTCCCCTCCCCTCCAGCTTTCAATTTCAACCCTTCCCCAAGAGAAGAAAACAGTCCTTCCTGCAGACCTCTCTAGAAAAAGCCACCACTGTGAGCTTCCACTGGTTTGCTTTGCTCTAAGCACCATCCACAGAGAGCGTTTTTAACTGCCATACTCTGTGCATAAGCCCGATGGAGAACTGATGGCCAAGCTGATCAGCAGGCAGCCAGTTGAACAGGAGACTGTTTCTTCAGACCCCTCAAGGAGAATTTCCTTGTTCATCTCACGTTTAAATTGTAATATCTCCCTTTCTATCTACGCCTCCCACCTCCAAATATTACATGAACAGAGTTCCTACATGGCTTAAACATACAATACACACATACTTTTGCACATAAGCACACTCTGTGATTTGGAGTATTCTGTGTGTCTGTCTCAAATTCCCTCCTCCCCTTGCTCCCCCATGGGTTTTTTCCCCCATTAGGCAAATGGAAGGCCCATGCCACCTGTTAGCATTACATCATTGGCTCCCCAGAACACAGTTGCACCAAAGGCCTTAAACAAAGTACTTCTTCTTGTATTGTTTGCACTCAAAGAGCTGATATCATGCCAACTGATGTCATTGTATGTCTTTGTGTAACTGCTATGGCAACTGGGCAGGTGGGGAGCCTCCAGCTGATGTCATTGAGAAAGGAGGTGTAGAGGCAGAATTTTAAAAAGCTGGATGCTGCTTTTTTCTGTGTGTGGGGTTTTCTAGCATGCAGTTTTTTGTTTTTTAACTAGCTGCTTTTAAGACAAATTATAGCTGAGTGCCCTAAATAAGAACAGAGAGGTTTCCCCACTTTTAGAGACTTCTTTTGAATTTGTTTTATTGTTCTTTCCTCTCATCTTATATGGAAAAATGTAACAACTGCCTTTTTTTTTTTGGAAGAAAAAAGTGAATTAGGTTCCCATCACAAAATGTGTGTGGAATTTGGATTTTTGTGGAGCAAAGCTGAGCAGATTTTAAAATGGCTCCAGAATCCCTTTAGTGGAGGCTGTGACAACAACGGGTAGTTTTTATCTTACTTATTTTTTAAGTCTTCACTGGTGAAGTTTTTCTGTTTTCTATATTTCTTTTCTTTCTACTTAAAAATTATCTCTTATGGTTTAAACTTTATGATCCTAATTGCCTAGCAGAATAAACTATCACGTAAGGGCAGAGGTTAATTCTAGAAATCAATTAAAATTAGTATGGAGCTCTTGTTTTTCTTTTCAAAAAGCTGAGGGAGGTTTTGAGTTTTTACTGTCGATGAGTAAAGTGAACATTGTATTGCCCTTTGAGTTCTCTTTGGATCCTAACCATACCTTAAGGAGAATATGATTTCTCTTTTACACACCAGCTCGGGGTCCATTGGCTGTGAACAGTCATGAGACTCAGTCTAGGTTATGGTCTGGAGTTTCCCACTGTGGTTTGCCAACGATGAGACTTGAAATGGAGAAGAACATATGCTCGGCTCAGAAGCAAGTGGACACATAGACTTCCTGTCCTTATTGCAACATAACCGCCCCCTGCTCCTGCTTTGGGTTTTCTGCCTTATCTCCTGGAACTATCAAGGCAGCCACAAGCCGTCTGTCTTTGAGAATAGATGTTATGTTCTGGTGGCTTTCAGCTAATAGGAGTTTTCCGACTTCCCCCTCTTTTCAAAGGGAAAGCAAGAGTGTATCTAGCTAGTTCTGTTTGGTTAGAATTAGAGCTCAGTTGGCACTAATGCCAGTCAGATTTTATAGCACTTACATGTATATTATGTAAGTTGAGCTTTGTAATAATCCTTTGGGTTTATCTGTGCATGCTATTGTGTGTAAAAACATTAGCAGAAAATTTAAACAATAAATTCCCTAACTTAAACAAGTATTCTTTTTTTTGTACAGTCCTTCAGCTTTTGGTGAATGTTTTTTACTTAGCTTTTTAAACATTTAATATTAAACCAAAATATTTATTTTCACATCCTTTTGGCAATTACTCTTTTAATGGCGACATTATACTCCATGGAACGAATGCAGTAACTTTTCCTTTGTTTTCTTCTTCTTTTAATTTACTTTTATGTTTTACTTGGCCTTTGGTTTTTATAAAACAGATAATACTGTAGTGAACATCTCTGTGATCTAGCTAACTCTCTTTGATTAGATGATCTCCCTAAGATCCATTCCCAAAAGTGAGATCATACTTGTTCAGGGGAAGGTTTGCATTTTAAAAATGGAGGAACAAGCACGGTATATAAGCTTTTTATGCTAGACCCATAACTCTTGGGAGGCAGAGCAGAGCCGTAAGCTCAAAAGTATGCATTTGCAGACCCATGAGAGGTTTCTTGATGGGTTTATGTGCTCACGAGCCTTGGAAAGTCGAGTAATAAGGAACCACGCTGCTCTCACATTCTGTCCTAGTGAAAGTCAGGGTTGAATTTCAAATATCAAAAAAGATTAAAAGAGCAATCACCCCATCCTGGCTTATCTTTTCCAAGTACTTCGCTGCTGCCTTCACCTGTAGGCAATCGTATAAATAATATAAATTAAAATAGTGAATACCTGCTGAGCTCTACTGTGTGCCAGGAAATGTGTGAAATATTTTAACACGTATTCATTTATCTGAGGCTCACAATCACACTTAAAGGGAGTCGCCATCACCCTCAGTTTACAGATGGTGGAACTGAAGCACAGGGATAAACACACTTGTTTAAGTCATAGTGTCAGGAAATGATGGTACCCAGATTATAATCAAGTTAACCTGTCTCTTCCAGTGTTCCTGCTTGTAACCACTTTGCTGTATTGGGAACAAACATGGGCCTCTGGGTGAGGTGAGCTATGAAGGGTACAAGACATGCTCTGATGGTGCCGAGAATCCACTTAGGGAGGTCATCTGTGCCTTTCTTGGCTCCCAAAGTGCAAGGTTCTATGTAGGCCACTGAACATATGGCTCTTTGAGGCAGGTCACATTTGCAGCTGAGGAAATTGCCTGATACTGCATGGAACTCTGAGGGAACATGCCCCCATTTGTAGAAAGAGCACATTTCCAAAGTGCTGTATGCAGTGATATTCCCCAAAGCGTGGATTGGGTCTCTAAATGGACTTTTATTTTTTGTTTTGGTGTTATATATATGTATGTATTTAAAATAGCATTACCTACAAGCAAACTCACTCTAATGGGGAGGTGGCATTTTCTGCCAGCTCTGAAATCTCAGTCACTCTCGCCTTCTGTGTTTGTGTTCCAGGTGGACTTAGTAGTTTTAAGCAGAACCATGAAAACCTCTGTGACAACTCCCTCCAGCTCCAAGAGTGCCGGGAGGTGGGGGGCGGCGCATCTGCGGCCTCGAGCTTGCTACCTCAGCCCATCCCCACCACCCCTGACATCGAGAACGCTGAGCTCACCCCCATCTTGCCCTTCCTGTTCCTTGGCAATGAGCAGGATGCTCAGGACCTGGACACCATGCAGCGGCTGAACATCGGCTACGTCATCAACGTCACCACTCACCTTCCCCTCTACCACTATGAGAAAGGCCTGTTCAGCTACAAGCGGCTGCCGGCCACCGACAGCAACAAGCAGAACCTGCGGCAGTACTTTGAAGAGGCTTTTGAGTTCATTGGTAACTATCTCCCGCAGGGAATTTTTATCCTCTGCCTTCCTTTCCCCTCTGGCTCTTGCTTTGATATCAAGTTCAAGGTTTATTCCTGTGTTGCAAAAAAAAAAAAAAAAAAAACTGCTCTGGAGTTTCTGGGAGCTCTGCTACCTGAAACCACCTAAGCTTCTCCTAAGTCATTGCCCGTCAGGTGTGTCCAAGCCATTAGGATGAATCTAAAAGAACAGTAATTGAATTTGTTGGGATCTGTTCAACTAGAAACCATCATCCCTCAGGTTCTCAGTGAACTAGCGGTAGGGGTTAGCATTTATGTGCTCTATAACCAGAAGAATGGATGGAAAGGGAGGAATTGGAGGCCAGAGCTGCTGCTGCCGCTATTTGATCTGCTAGCACCCTTCAGCACCGTGGAATCAACATCCTGTGAATATGACATCCCTTCCAAACACACCCATGCCCGCCTATCACGCTGCTAAGCCTTATTCATCCAGCATAAGAGGAGACAGTACTAGCTTTTCTTTGACAGTCTGCCCCAAACTCACTGAAGTAGGAAAGATCAGGTTGTGTAACCGAAGTAGCTTCCAAGGAGGAAGTTTTAGCAACCACAGGCTTTAATCCCCAGAAGGAAGCAGCTAGCAGCCTCATCCCAATCTTAACTTCTGCAACTTCTACAGCTCCAAACTGCTTTAAGACTCAAACATCATTTTGGAAACACCTGCAATATAGCAAAACTCAACATTTGTTTAGTTTTAAGTAACTTCGACTCGTATCACCGTAAAGGGGTGGCCTAGCACTTTTCCTAAATATTACCGCAGGTTGTTACCATTCGAAGAATCGAGTTAAGTGGAGTGGGGTGTTCCCTTGTTCGAGAAAAAAAAAAAACCAGCCTCAGGTTTAACTGCCACTGGGGTCTGGTGGATATACTGCAGTGTTGTATCTCCAGTCATTTTGCCAAGCTGTTTTCCTTGCTAATTAATTATGCTATCAGCTCAGGACCGCGGCATACTGAGTCTGAAAGGACATTCAGAGTGATCACTGAACTTAGAGCCTAAGTAAAGTGACTTCTCCACGGTCATAGGAATTCTAGTGTCCAAGAAGGGACCAGAATCCAGGGTTTTTGACTTCCAAGCCTGAGGCTTTTCACAACACACTAGGGTGATGTTTATGATACCCTATTCAGTTCTTCCCAACTGGCAACACTTGAGGATGCAGAGATACTGTAGATTCTTTATTAATAAAATCTGAGCCAAACCTGGAGCACTGAGGAAGAAAAATTTCTCAACAAGCAGATGAGGAACTTCTGGTTGATACATGATGTTATGACTGAGATTCCATCTGACTTAATTCCATTTGGAGGAAGTTAGGAAATTGTTTCTATTTAATGAGTAGGGTAAGATATACTTGTTCTAAGAGGATTTCAACCAAAGCGCTCACATTCATTATAGATTACTCACGCTCACCTGTGCCCCCGCCTCCTTTTTTTTTTTTTTTTTGAAGGAAAACAAAACCAGTAACATAGCATTTAGCCTGAAGAACAATTCCGAATCACAACCTGCACGGGCACAATTTTATTTTCATTGTTATATTATTAGGTAAACTGAAATCTCACAGTCTTGCTTTAGGAAAAACACAGCAGGTTTTATAAACATAATAACTTTCACTGAGAGTCTAATATAAACGAAGCAGCATCTAAGTTTAGTGTTTATGCCAGTTTATGAATTCCTGAATCAAGTGTGTGTAGTGGAACCGTGGTCTAGCTGGGCACTTAGAAGCTCATTCTCTTACCACCATGATTTCTAGTCTTGACTTGGAACTAAATATTGTGTGCTGAGGGGAAGCAGTGGAAAAAGAGAGATGCTTTCCTTGAAATACTGTTGACTATGAGACGTAAACCTCATCTGTAAATTGAGATACAAAGTTACATCAGTTTTTTTTTCTTTTTCTTGGTCCACTAAAAGTAGTTTGGTCCAGAAGCAGTTTAGGTGAAATGACTACTCTCTCTACCCCTTCTCCTTCCCTTCCTGTTTATCTAATTGGTGTTCCTTCACGGAAGCTTTCTTAGGGATGCGTTACAGTCTAGAAATGTCATTAATAGTCTGTTCAGTCAGTGCCCTCACGCTGTTCTCCTGAGTCTTTAATATATCTGAAAGCTTAGCAAGTCTCTCTCTGTAAATTGTTCTGGATTTTGAGCCATTGATGGAATTCCTCCATCTTCTGCATTATTGCCATCTTGGAATGTCATACATGGATGCAAAGGGGGTTGAACACTTGAGAGGTAACACCCTGGGCCTGTATAGTGCTGGTCTTTAGTTAACTTTGCAACAACTGGATTTTCTGGGGAGAAGCTGAATATAGTGTCTTTCTAGTTTAGCTTTATTCCTTTAACCTTAATCAGGGTTTAGTATGACTAAAACTCTTATCCATTTAATGCCCGTTCCTGTACAGAGCAAATCTATAGAATAACAAAAGTGTTTTTTTCTCTATCACTGGTGAGAGAGTTGTTGTTATGAGCACTAGGTAACAACCGACAATTGGAATTAACATTCTGAATCCAAAGAGGAGCTGTTATGTATATATAATATTTATATGTTTATATAATATATTTATATAAATATATATTTATATACATACACACACGCATATATACATACATATGTTTGTGTGTGTGTATGTGTGTTTGTGTGTATAATTTTCCCCTCCCTCTCTGCTTTTCCTGCATTTTTTTTCAGTAGTGTGATTCCAGAGAAAAGGAGAACATGACATTTGAGAGAGGTTCAGTGACTGTTGTTATAGGTCCGGCTTTAGGCCACCGCTGTCACCTGTGAAGCAAACTGTTCCTACGACAATTATTTCATTGAATCCTCTCTTCAAGTGTAGATGTGTAGCTTCTTGTTCATGCTGATATCAACTTTTGCCAGTTCTGGAAGTTGTGACGTGAATATACATAATGAACTTGTAGATCATACTTGGCTTTAAAACTGTTTGAATTCATTGTTTCTCGACAAAAGAAAGTATTGCAAAGTTGAGATAAAAGATTCTCCCTCCATGCCCCTCTCTTTTGTCTTCTCTTCATCTCTTGTCTTTCTGCCCTTTTCCAGAGGAAGCTCAGCAGTGTGGGAAGGGGCTTCTCATCCACTGCCAGGCTGGGGTGTCCCGCTCCGCCACCATCGTCATTGCTTACTTGATGAAGCACACTCGGATGACCATGACTGATGCTTATAAATTTGTCAAAGGCAAACGACCAATTATCTCCCCAAACCTTAACTTCATGGGGCAGTTGCTGGAGTTCGAGGAAGACCTAAACAATGGTGTGACACCGAGAATCCTTACACCAAAGCTGATGGGCGTGGAGACGGTTGTGTGACGATGGTCTGGATGGAAAGGATTCCTGCTCTCCATTAGGAGACGACGAGGAAGGAGGATGGATTCTGGTTTTTTTCTTTTTCTTTTTTTTTTAGTTGGGAGTAAAGTTTGTGAATGGAAACAAACTTGTTTAAACACTTTATTTTTAACAAGTGTGAGAAGACTATAACTTTTGATGCCACTGAGATTCACCTCCCGTGAACTGACAAATTAGGGAGAGTAAAGAAGTAATTTTTTTAAGCCAACAATAAAAATGTAATACAACTCGTTTCTCCCCCTTTTCCTTTTAAGCTATTTGTAGAGTTTATGACTAAGTAGTCTGTGCAGGTTCATAGACTGAAAATACTACACACTTTAAACCAATTTAAAAGAACCAAAACTAAATAGAAAAGACATTGAATCACCAAGGCCTGGGGTCCTCCTGGGCTGTCCACATAGAAAACAAAAACCTACCAAACCAGGCCCTGTTGTGCTCACTGGTGCAAAGAGAGAATCAGGGCAGCTTAAGTGGTCTAAGAATCCTTCAGGCATTCTTTAAAGAGACAAAGGATATCTTTGATTTTGTGTGTTTCATGCTCTGGATTTTTTTTTTTCCTTCTCTGGGTTTAAGAGATTTTTTTTTTTAAATAGTAAGGAACTGACCATTATACCGTATGCCCTCACTGGCTTCTTGTGCAATAATATGATGTTTTAAGTGTGCAAACAAGTTAGAGCTGGCAGCTGAATGATAGACAAATATTGCAAATTTGCCAGCTTGGAGATAGAAAGGAATTCAACAATATATCAGTTACTTTCCTTCCCACCTTTTTCCGTTTTTTTTTTGATTTGATTCTGGTTACAGTGCCATAAACCTTGTTACATATGTATATCCGAATGTAAGAAAAAGAGAAAAAATTATTTAAAAATATTTTTCGCAAAAAAAACCTTGTTGTGTTTCTGTTGATTGTGTAAAAATTTATTTTCATTATATAAATGAAACTGGTTTGGGGTGTGTCTTTTTTCCCCCGTCTTTTACCTTAACTCAGGTTCAAGCCTTTCTTAGCTCTGGTAACTTGCATATATAACAAAGTTGAAATAAAACACAGATTTTTATATAGGGAAAGAGAGATGAGAAAGACAACGTATCTAGTCCTCTCAGTGTGAAGCAGAGAGAATTAGCAAGGAAGTGAAAGAGCTCCAGTACTGATCTACCCAGTCACTATTCCCTCTATTCTCACAATGGTGCCATCCTCCTCTGCAAATATAATTCCTCTCACATTGGGGAAGCTTTGTGTAAAGTGAACCTAAGGGGATCCCATCTGCCTTTGCACCTTGGTGACCAAATCACTGCCAGATTGATTGGTGAGAATTCAGTGATCTCTCCAGTGGCTACTAGATCAATATTTATGACAATCTTTCATTTAGGGATCTTGACCCCTCCATTGTCACTTGCTCATTTGACATCTTTGGTGACATTAACATGTAATGCATTGCAGCAAACTGCTGTTGCCTACTCTTTTCCCAGAGAACTGAAACCCAGCTTTGGACATATGTACAGCTTCCTTATAACACTGGGTTAATGCATAGCTGGGGTCCCAATTCACTGTGATGGAGGGTTGGGGGTATGGGAAGAACATAATGCAAATATTTTCTATGTTTAATTAAAATAGAAGTGTAGTGGGACTTGGCCATAAGGAAGATTTATGGCAAAGTGAAATTTGCCTGGGGTGAATAAAAGAGTTGGCGAATCTAGCATGTTGCAGTCTATGTGATGGCATTTGACACAAATAATTTTTTGTATGTTGGCTTGAAAATGTTAAAATATTTTTGACATCTTTTAAAAAGTGGCTTTTCTACCAAAAATAATTTTGATTTTGATTTTATAGAAAAGTGGAAACTGAATTGAACAGCAATTAACAGAGCTGTTTTGGATAATAATGCAAAGTATTAATCAGGTGAAAAGTAAATCTCTGCTTTGTATTTTCTACTCTTCAGACAATTTCCTTGATGCTAGAGTTTGTTCAAGGAGTCAGGTTGGTATATAATTCGTGATTTAAAATACATGGTACTTTATCAGACATTTTTGTTATTTTAAGTCTAAATGTTAAATTTCTGATAGCGTGTAAGGTATATTGCTGCCCTCTCTCTCTTCCTTCTTTCCTTCTGCTTTTTCTGTGTTCTCCCTCCCTTCCTCCCTTCCTCCCTCCCTCTCCTCCTCCCTCCCTCCCTCCTTTCCTTCCTCCCTCCCTTTCTTCCTCCCTCCCTCCTTTCCTTCCTCCCTCCCTTCCTCCCTTCCTCCCTCCCCTCCTCCCTCCCTCCCTCCTTTCCTTCCTCCCTCCCCTCCTCCCTCCCTCCCCTCCTCCCTCCCTCCCTCCCTTTCTTCCTTTGCTTCCTCCCCTTCTATCCTTCCTTCTTTCTCTCTTTCTTTTTTCTTTCTAACAAAACAAGGAGAAAAATCAATACAGTTTCTCATCTTTATCCACATGGAAATGATTTATGTTTTTGGAAGTTTATAATTTTGAGAGAAAGCCTATCCTGGGGCAAATAGTAATCCTGCCAATCAGAATACCAAGGATCCTGAGAGCGACTCGGGTCTTTTCTACTAATCTCTGAGTCACTTAGCCTCTATTTCATAATAAGGAATGTTAACCACTTTATGAAAATAATGCAGATTAACCAAGCCATAGCTCTAGAAACCAGATTCTACAGGTTGCTGGGCCTCACTAGCTGTCTGAGAGCTTTAGGGCTGCCCTAGGAGATAATTGTGTCTTCCCAAGAAAGCCAAGTCCCTGACCAACACATGAACCATTCTCCGAATCCAGGAAGGGTTGTTTTACACTAAGTGAATCTAATTACTTAGTAGAATAAATTTGTAATTAATTTTAAAAATATAGCAAGTATTGTTACCTTGAGCCGAACAAAATAGCAGCTTCAGCTCTCTCTCTATATATATATATTACATTTATTTCGATAGTTAATGCTTTTCCAGTCAATGCGGGTTAACCAGGATAGGGGGTTTTCATTTCTTGAAAGAGTTTGTGCCAGTTTCTTCCAGATAAGGAAAGGCAACATGGGAGGTAGGGCAGAGAAGTTGACAAATGGAAAACATTGTACAAGGGGAAATATGCAAGAAGAAATGTACACAACCCCACAATCACATGCTGGCAGTAAAAGGGAAAGATGTCCTTTTGTAATGAAATATGAGCAACAGGAGAAAATGGGAGGCTAAAAGGAAAAGAATTAAAAAATAATGTCAGAGTAAAACACTAGAACCTGAATGACACTCCAGAGGCTGACTCAGATAGAATGCTAATAAGTTGCTCCACTAGATATTCCCATAGTAGGAAGTCCAATGAGCCGAATTCAATAGAGATCAGTCAGTGATGGCCTTCACTTTGTTTGGGAACAGCCTCTCGTAAATAGGCCACAATACATGTTATTTATGCTTTTTTCCCCAAACATGAAACATGCAATCTCAGGAAATATAGACTGCTGTTTGGTTTCAAGCTCTGATTGGAGATAGTTGTTGCATATGGATGGGGGTCAGATGAAAGGGGGTAGAAAATTACTATTTAGCACTGGCACCCAGAAAGATGGGCCATAATTCGGAAGTGCTCCAAATTACACCTATCTATAGAAGACTTCCTGCCTTTTTGAGGCGGTGGAATATGAACACCAGTGCTTCCTGTGGTTCCTGATTTATTCCTTTGTGACAACCTTTTCAGTGTTTGGTACAAGGTGCATGTATCGGGGTTTAATAAGAAGCAGAAACAGTGACATAGAATGAGAGGTTTATTCCAGGGACTAGACCTCAGACAAGTGTGGGATGTGATGAAGAAGTCAGTGGGAGAGTGTTGCATCTGTCTGATAATAGGCTGAATTCTCTGGGTCAGCACAGCCATCAGTAACGAAAGCTGGGTATGAACTAGAGGAGAAAGAAGAAGAAATGGAATTAGGAGGAAAAACTGGAACCCGTATCAGCCTTTTACCGACCTCAATGTGGGTGGCTTCCAGAGGGATCTCGCTCTCTGCCACAGAGCTGAAGACCTACCTAGCACAGGACTTGGCAAAACTGAAGACAGAGCTTTGGGAACTTCAATCACAGCTGCTTCACTAAGTCCAGGTGAGTCACCACATCAGGGGAAAGGTGTGCTTGCAATCACAGAGTTTGGTGCCCCCCTTCAAATGTCTGCTTCTTCAATTCTGCTTTTCCAACCTCATGCAAATTTCTGTTAAAGCTAACCTTAACTCAGTGTGAATCAGGAGAGGAAATTCTGGAAAATATAGTTCCCGATTTAGCTAAGTTGATACTGTAGAAAACTATCATAATCCATCTGTTGCTGACTTGGCATCCATGTCCACTTCTCTTAACTAAATGTGACTTCCAAATGAAGACATTAGCAAAACGATACTTCTACCAAATATGATGCAACTATGAGTTCTACAGATGAAAACACTGAAAACAAAAGACGGCCGGGTACAGTGGCTCATGCCTGTAATCCCAGCACTTTGGGAGGCCAAGGGGGGTGGATCACTTGAGGTCAGACATTCAAGACCAGCCTGGCCAACATGATGAACCTGTCTCTACCAAAAATACAAAAATTAGCTGGGCATAGTGGTGCATGCTCTATGATTCCCCTATCAGGTTGTTGGCTTCATGCAGATTCCTGCATAATAGAGGAATTACATACCTGCAATTCCAGCTACTCTAATCACTTGAACACAGGAGGCAGAGATTGCAGTGAGCCAAGATTGCGCCACTACACTCCACCCTGGTTGATAGAGTCAGACAATGCCACACACACACACACACACACAAAGAGGATACATAGCCTCATAGGTTACTTTGTCCATTTTTGGGGATGATGTGCAGTCCTTTTTTCGCTGAGATCCACTTTCCCTTCAATGTCATGTACTTTAAATATATTGAGATATAAGGAGGTTATGGGTTGAATTTTCTGTCAAAAAGCCATGTTGAAGCTTTAAACCCTGGACCTTGTAAATATGATCTTATTTGGAAATAGGTTCTTTGCAGATATAATTAAGAAGAAGTGATATTGGGTTATGGCAGGCTCTAATTCAGTGACTGGTGTACTTATGAGAGGGGAATTTGAAGACAGACACAAAGAATGTCAAGTAACAATGGAGGCCGAGATTGGACAAAGGAACATCAACGATTACCAGCAACCATCAGAGGCTACAAGAGAGTCACTGAGCAGATTCTCCCGCAGAGCCTCTAAAAAGGAAGTGACTCCGCCATCACCTTGATTTTGGACTGTTAGCATACAGACTGCAGTAAAATTAATTTCTGTTGTTTTAAGCCATCCAATTTGTGCTACTTAGTTATAGCAGCTTTAGGGAACTAATACAAAGACTAACTATCATTACCCCATTTTATATTAGATGGTGGATGGGGGAGGAAAAAAGAACTGGTTAATATATAACCAAATATATTTATATTAAGAAATAAATATTTATAATCCTTTCCTTCCTAATTTCTATAACTGATCTTGTGGTCATATTTATAACTCCCTTCTTTCACTACTCATTCCATAGACTTGTGTCCTCAGCCAGCACATTGCCTAGTCATGGTTTCTTGCCTGTTGGGGTGATCTCAATTTTCATTTTTGAGGGATTCAATCTTTTGCAGTTGATCCCACATTGGGTTATTTTCCACCTTCTTTGCTTGTTACAGTAACAAAAGTAATTACAAGACTTGAAGGTATAAGGTATAAGATATGACCTTGAATTCCAGGCACACTTTTTCTTACTGCTATAGGCTAGTAGTAATCCAATTTCCCTTTGAGAGTCACAGTCATCCCAGCCCATACATCAATATCTTACTTTTCTTATTGATTCTTTAGCACGAGGAGCCCAAAGTCGTCTGCAGGGAGTATCAACTTCTGTCTTAATGGAATCATAGCTGTATCTCCTATTAGAAGTATCTCTCCCTTGGAAATCAGAACTTCTAGACCAGCAGAGTCTAATGTTGAGAATAGAAAG